TATGGCTTTGGTTTTCTTATTTTATTTATCTCATAGCAGAATAATCCTCTGGGGTTGGTCAGATCTCACTAGAGTGAAGGCTATCACAAATAAATAAAGTTTGTTCTATTTTCTGAGTGGAGTTACAAATACCTTCATACAGTGACAGCTGTGACCACACAGAGCAAAGATGGGAAGAGAGTAAGGAATAACCGTGATTTGTACTGTTGAAGCCTGGTTAAAGCAGTGTCACTGTTGTGCTCTGAAGACAGAGGAAGGAGGGAGTCTGGGAGCAGATGGGCTGTATCCAAGAGTGCTGGGAGAAACCTGGAGTCTTTGAAAGACTGTACAGAGTGGGGGAGGTCCCTGAGAACTGAGGAGAGATAAATGTTGTGCTTACCTTCATAAAAGGCCAAAAGAATAATTTGTAGTATTAGAAGCCAGTCAGCCTCTCTTCAGTCCCTTTGAAAATCAGGAATTGAGTCTGATTGGAGCACATTTCTTAGGACGTGAGAGAATAAGTGGGTGGAACCAGTCAGTATGGATTTACCAAGGGACTGACCAACTTGATTGCTTTCTATAAGAAAAAACGTCTGAATGTACTAGAAGGCACCTTGACTTTAGCAAGGTTTTTCATGCTGTCTGACAATATCCTTGTATCCAAGTAAGCCTGTTGTGGGATGGATGGATGGATGGACGGACAACTAGCTGCGGAAGAAAAAAGCTGGTTTTATGGTCAGGCTTACAGGGTAGTGGTCATGATCATGAGCCAGCAGTGTGTCTTGACAGCAAAGGGAACCTACAGCATCTTGGGTTGTATGAACAGGAGAATTGCTCATAGATTGAGGGAAGTGATTATCATCCTTTATTTTGGAATTGTTAGACCACATCTAGAATACTCTGTCAAGTTTTGGATATCCATAATACTGGAAAGTCATTGACGAACTGGAATGAGTACAGGGCAGGGCTGTCGAAATGATTGGGGCTGTAGCACTTGCCCTCTGAGGGCTGGGGGAACTGGGCTTGTTCAGCTTGGAGAAGAACTGGCTTTTGGAGGACCTAGCAGCAGCCCCCCCAGGACTGCAAAGAGGTCTAGAAAATGGAACCAAGCTCCTTAGTAGATTTCAAGTGGGAGGACAAGAGAAAGTGGTCATAAGATAATGCAGGAGTTTCTGACCTGAAGCAAAGAAAAATTTTAAGACAGCTAAGCACTGGAGCCAGTTACCCAGAGGGGTTGTGCAGTCTCCATCCTTAGAAGTTTTCAAGACCCAGCTGAGGAATGGAGAGAGGAGCAATCTGGTATGACCCCATAGCTGGTTGAGCTGTGAGCAAGCAGTTGGACTATAGACCTCCTGAGGTCCCATCTAACCTAAATTATTCTGTGATTTAATGAATACAAATTTTTGGATTTTTGGATACCTCCATTTTTGGATGAGGTAGTGGAGAGCACTGTTGAGAATACAATGTTTTGTGTAGTAGATAGGAGACTTGATAAGGCAAAGTGACTCGAATGAGAGGTGGTGTGGAAGAGAGGAAGGGGCAGCAGGAAGACTTGGTGAATTTTGTAGAACTGGCATTTATTCCAGACATAGGATTTCAGCTTTTGGGTTAAAAACATACAAGTAGTAGATGATTTCTTAGCTGGGACTAAGATCAATGTGATTGCAAATCTGGTTTACTAAAAATATTAGTATTTTATTATTACAAATAACTATATAATTATATTTATTATTATAAAACTGAGCAGGTTCAGAATTTCATCCTTTTTTCTTTTTTTTCCCCATCCTCCCATCAAAATGTCTTTGATGCTCTGACTTCTGTCTTTAAACGGTATTTCAAAGGACAAGATCTGATGCAGGCTCCTGCAAGTCATGACTTCTTAGAGAATGCATTTGTCCTCTGTTTCCTTCTCTGGTGAATGCTGGGCAGGGAAGTGTACGGGGAGAAAGGGTAGATGCTTACAGTATTGTAAAGCAGGCCACACTGTTGTGGTTTATTGTAAGACTAGAATTTGTATCTGAAACGTGCAAGCGGGAGGTGGGAAGCTAGAGTCAGGGAGTCACAGTCTGATAATTTTAGTTGGCTCTGTTTTGTGCATTCTGCATCAATATTAATTCGTCTGGTGGTCGTTGTGGAGAGTTTGTATGCAGCTTTAGTATGTTCTGTGCTTTCATATTTTTTTGTGGAAATAAAAGGCAGATAATTATAAAGGCTATTTTGTATGACTACTTTTACCTTACACAACATGGAGCCCATCATCAGGGTAGCTGATCATAGTAGACCTCATTTTGAAAAGAATTCTATAGAATGTTGTATACTACATTTTCCAGCCATATTAGCCAGTGAAGTCCAGTTGGAATTTGGTGGTGGTAATAGAAAAAAAAAAAATTCTTATTTTAGGAACTTTTTATTGGGGTTTGTGTATAAAAATAGGGTGTCTTTATCTTAAGAGAAAACTGAAGTGGTTAAATGCCTGAAATTATTTAAGTAGAAGCTGATTTATAGTGTGATATTTTACAAATGTGTTTTAGAAGCTGAACTGTATCCTGCCTGCAGTTATTTTTTTTAGGAATAATTTCTTTTTTTTTAAAATAGCTCATGAGGCTTACAAATACTTACATAAATCGAAGGCACACTAGGTTAAATATTTATTGTAGCTGAGGTTTTCATTGTGACTTTCATGCTCAAATTACACTGTAATTCTTAGAAAACCCTCTTATTGTGTCCTTGGATGCAGAACAGCTCTGGCTACCTGCGAATGCATGTGAGCAAGGAAACATGAAAGGCTGTCAAAGCGTTCTGTATTTCTATTTTAAGTATGGTGAGAAAGCAGGGAAGTTCTACAGAGACCTTTACTTCATGTGGCATTAGGGAAGTAATTTGGTTAAGTGTTTGACATACTGCTTGCCAAAGTGGAGTTACTGTAGCTGTGTGAATTCTGGAATCCAATTTCAAGTGTATTTAGCTCTTCTTTGTATTTTTCTAAAAAATGTTATCTTAATGAAAACTAACAGATGTTAAATGCCTCGTAAGTGACAGTTAAGATTCTTGCAAGATGGAAACCATCAGTGTTTCTGTAATGACTGGTGTCCTCTGTCATTTGAAGTGAGACTTCTGGAGAACATGTGGTTGCAGAATTCTATCTTTTATCTTTCCCTTTTTCATAATGAAAAAACTGTCTAGTGCTTTTTGTAACAGAGAAAATAATTTTAAGTTAATGTCTTCTTGAGTTTGTGGATTGTTTGAAACAATGGAAATAAAGTGAATTGTGCAATTTTTCTCTTAGACTTGTGTGAGTTTTAGCAAACTTGACAATTTGAATGACTTTGTTAACATACAGTTAGTTTTACATTATAGGCTACCTCCCTCTGCCTCATGAAAGTCTCATAGTGCCAGTGATCCCTTGGTTGCCTACCGTATCTCCAGCCTGTCCTCATTTCTCCACTTCATCCTCTTCCTCAAAGTAAAAAATGAATAGCCCTGAGTTACTGTGATCTATAAAATAAAATAGATGTTATTAAGTACTGGTAGTTGTGGTGGTTTTTTATGTAGCCATGGCAGTCCTAAGAACTTACATTGTAATGGTAGTACTTGCCCCTTCTATTGTAACCGCTTAACGTGGTTGGATTTTTTGAGGCAGGATCTATGATCTTATTATTTCACTTGCACAGATAACAACTGACATTTTAAAGAACAAACCACATTGAAAGAATTGCCCATGAATTAAACAGTCTTGGGACCATGCCTGTGAACTATGTGATAAGGGTAATAATATTTAAGAATTTCTACACTTGTGTACTTCCTGGGGTTGTAGGTTATACAGCCTTCCACCGAGTTCAGTTCTGTATTAAGTTTTAAGACTGTAGGCTGTAGTAGTTGGTTGTCTGACAGTACTTAGGAGTCAGAGTATTGTCTTCAGTTGCTTTGTTATGTATTGATTTCCCATTTTTGTTTAAGCCTCTTTGTGCCATAAGGAACTGTTTTTTTTTTTCCACTGTCTATGTGTCTTTTCATAGTCATCAAGCCAAAGGCTTTCTGCAGTATGAACAGATTAAACATAGCCACGTGCTGATTTGTAAGATGGTGAATGCGATGGAAGGGAAAAGGAAAGGATACACTTCTAGGGAAAAGGCATGATAAGATTTGAAACAAATGGATTTGAACTGTGGTCATTTTGCAGCAAGCAGAATAACCACCAGCTCTTTATGTTTTGATGGTGGTGTGCACATAGCACAGAATGTATTTTGACAAAACCAATTTTGGCATTTATGGCCACATTAACATTTTTCCAAAAGAAGCAACGAAAGTTGTGAACAGTTCCAAACCCAGTCTTCTGAATTGCACCATAGGCAATTATTGTGATATTATATACCAAAAAACCCTAATACACTTTCATATTGTGTACTACTGTTTATCTGTAGGCATTAATTTTTATCAATTTAATGGATACTTTCAACTCTCTTGGAGCTCATGGTTTTTAAAGTTGAGTTACCGTTGGTCCATAAAAGAGTGAAGAGTGACAAAATAATTGTAATTGAAAGACAGACAGGCAGGTTCATATTCTAACATTATTTTGTATGTATGCTGCTATGATGTGCATGGTAAAGGTATAAGGTTATTAGGCACTGAACTTAGGTACGATACAGTTGATCATCTAACCCCCTTAACTCTCTTTAGGAAAATTCAAACTCTGATATTTAGGGCTAGATCCATCTCTCTTGTGTTCATTTTACCAAACGTTTCCTTTCTGAAAGGAGTCTGATCTAAGCTGCTCATGTGGATTTTCTCTTTAGTCAGTGGTAAGATAAAGACGCTTTCAGGTCCTGATTTCGTCATTTGTCTTAAGGATGAAACACTTGCTGAAAGTGCCTTGTCTTCCCCTCTGCACTGAGAATACAGGGGTCCTGAAATGCCTGACACTCAGCAGGTAGAGCAGAGGGACAAATTCCCCTGTAGAAAATCAGTGACGTGACTGTGCACAGAGGCTCAATCGTTTAACATGCGTTTGTTTTTTTCTACAGGTCCATGAAGGATTCTTGGAAAACAAGACGGCTCCCATAAATGTCAGTGCCACCAGCAGTTCTTCTGAGAAAAGGAGTACCGATTTACGAATATACATGCTGTGTTTCCTGCCATTCATGATCCTTCTCGTCTTTATTCGTGACCTTAAGAGCATGTCCTTGCTTTCATTGCTTGCCAATCTGTCCATGGCTGTCAGCCTGGTGATCATTTACCAGTATATTGTTAGAGTGAGTATAAAAAAGTTTATTTTTTTTTTAGTGTGGCAAGTTATATTTGTTACATGTGGCTGTTGGTCTCTGATAGATATATACTGACTGGCAATTTCTGAAAGGCAGAATTATCTTGTATTTTATTGAGGCATCTTAATTTAAGGAGGAGCTTTAATACTTAAGACATGTTGTAAACGCGGACTTTTACAGTACTTTTGAAAGAAAATATAATACTGTTGCACTTAAGACAAAAATATGTATTGTAATGACTTAGAGTCCTTGAGTAGAAGAATATGTGAATTTTTATGGGTTGCACACAGAACTTTCAAGGTTTCAATCTGTGGTCAATCTTTTTGTTGCAACAGAACAACAGGTGCAGCAGCAGCATTTATTTCTAGTGTTTCTCCAGTACAATCAGGAAAGATTTAAGACTTACCATTTAGTAATACATATTGCAGACTTCCATCTCCTGAGAAGTTGAATAGTTGCTGCGTTTTCTGGGTAGCTGCTGTTTTTCATATTTGGAGGCATTTCATAATGGAACAAATTAAACTGATGGCTGGAAAAAAAAATCACATCACAATCTTCATTTTTCTGTCTTACGATTTTTTGAGAAGTGATATGTGCTAGACACTGTTGCACACATGGTATAAGTAAATGATGAGTACCACTTTTGTTTGAGAAATCTTTTGCATGAGTGTTACGAGACAGGTGAGAAGCGGAGGATGGGGGGGAAGGCAGAAAAGGCGGTGCAAGGTATTGGCTGGGTGTGGAGGCATGAGAAATTACGTAGAAGAGATTGGGGGAGATAGAGAGTAATTAATTGTTCTGCAGGGAGTCAGCTTTTATTAAAAAGATTTTCTTTTACTGTCTTTTATGGTTATGAAGAATATCTGCAGTATGAAAGCAGATTAGAAAATGCGGTACTCTGCGAAGTTTGCAGAAGATTAAGCTTGAGGTGTGAGCTTGTGAGCTTTCCCTTTTGTTTTGACAGTCACTCATATGTCAGTGTGATACTCTAAACGTGAAAATGCCTAATGAACATAGAATAAATATATCTGCAAGTGCCTGTGTGTGGGTGGGAAGTTGGGTATAAGTGTGTATAAAGGACTAAGTTTGGGAGGAAGACCAGGGATTGTAAGTAGCAATGTATAAACCACTGTCAACATGTACCGAGTTTTCTTTCCTACAGCATAATGCATCAATCAGTATTATAGGAACAGCTAATGCACTTCACATAGCACTATTTTGCTCTGTTTTCTTCAGGATATAGTAGATCCTCGAAAACTGCCTCCTGTGGTTGGCTGGAAGAAATACCCACTGTTTTTTGGGACTGCAATATTTGCTTTTGAAGGAATTGGTGTGGTAAGTGCTTTTTACTGACTCTTCAAAATATCTGAATCTGTGCTAGATGATGGGGTACAGGCAGTTTTAATCCTGTTGTTATTTAGTTGTTTTTCTTGAAGCACTGATCTCCCATGCTGATGTGAAAAGAGTTAATTTATCTTGTCAAATAAGGCAAAAGTTAAGGACACAACATCCCCATCAAATGGAGGTTTGGTGAATGCCAATTGCTGCTTGGACACTTAGCCCCTTCCCAAATTACAAGAATGTCTTTAATTCCAAATAGATTGAGACAATAGTGTAATAATAACAAGTATCATAATATGCTATATATTAGTATAATACTCAGCTAGTAATATGATGATATACTTATGATATAATTATAGTGATTCATCAACTCAGTTTTAGGCGATGAGTGTGTAAAAATAGAAACGTATTCAGCACCCCTCTTTTCCTTTGGGATCACAGAGGACAAAGTGTTTTATTAGAAATTTATTATTCGTGCTTCAAACTTGTCTGTAGATGTGACTTGACAGAGATGGAGATGATAAGAAAAAGGATAGAAATTTCAGAATATTTTTTTGATTTATGGCCTTCTGACAGTGAAACTCAGTTCCTTATTGTTTCCTGAAATATGTCAATAAAATAGTTCTATCGCTCTGAAAATTTGGGTTTTAAAAGTGGATTTTAAAAAATATTTTATTCACTTATTACTGTTTATGAGAGCTTTCTGATTGCATCTCGCACTAGCAAAATTTGCAAGATCGCACTTTTTTTTTCGACATGGCATATTTTAAAAAATAGCCAGAGGCTTCTGGGAATGGTAGATCATAATGTCTTTAAACCTTTGGGAAGCTACTGCATACTCTTTATTTGTCACTAATCTAATTATATACTTCAGCAAGTGTTACTGTATGTTTAAAACTAAACATCAAACAAACACCACCCACACCCAAAACCCCAGCAAAACCAACCCCAAATCAACGTGTGGTTCATCTGAAACGATTGTCATGGAACAGAGGAGAGTTTTTGGATCTCTCTCCTTTTCTGGGACTGTCAACACCGCGTTAAACCAGAATGTTTCACTCTGCTGCTCTGTTGTCACTGCCCGGAGAATGGAATAGCAAAAGCTTTAACTCCTATTATGTTACAAAAGTGTGTTCTCACACAGAGGATATGTGGATCTAGTGACCATGAATCTCATATTTCTCAAACTGTTATCAACTGTTTGTCAAACTGTGACCTGACTGATGCAGAGGTGTAGCTACCATATATCTGAGTGTTTCTGGGCATCTTTCCTTCTGTAATCTGGAAGGAATCTGAAATCTGATCATAGGGGATCAGCCATTTGTCTGGGATTGTTTGATGCCTACAGGTCTCCAGGAAAAAAACCCACGCTCAGTGAATCGAACAGATTGGGCTACACCGAGCTTGCTGCTCTTAGATTGTGTAGTCTGTCTGGGACAGACTGCGCTTGCTGCATGTGTGAAGTGCAAGTGGGTCTGACACGTTTCCCAGTTGTACCAGATTTGTTGCTCATGTACTGCATAGCCTGCGGGTGTGGATTTGGAGTCAGGAAATCCCAAATGGGAGTCGTGTGAGCCTCAGGAAAGTGTGGAAGGCTTACCATTTGGTAGCAGTAGTTTATGGAATTACAGGTAGGGATCTGATTTATGTTAATTATTTTCTGGCATATTAAACCCCACATTAGACAGCTCCTTAAATTTACATCAGCATTAGTAACATTGACTTCCAATGTAAACCTTTAAAGAACTGCCCAGAGCATTGTGCTTGATTGAGTCCCTGGTTGTCTTTAAGAACTCCAAACTTTTTTTCCTTCTTTTATTTAAGAGTATATAATGTAGGGTTCATTTGAATTGTACCTTTAAAACATGAAAATACTGCTTGATATTGTTAGATATTAGTGCTGTACAGTTATTTCTGTGTAGGCTGTCTCAATTTCTTGCCTGATCATAATTTATTTAACTCTTCAGAGCAAATTAAGAGTGCTTTTTATTTTTTTCACTTTGTTACTGGTGTTTACAAGCTAATTAAATGTTTATGTTCATTATGGCTTGATGTGCTTTGCGTGTGTGTGTGAGTCCATTACACAAGACCGTTAAAATAACATGGCTACCTTTACAAATTAAAATTAATGTAAAATTCAAAATCTAGAGCTTAATGATTCTTCTCTATATGAAGAATGATAATAATATGTCTCTGCTTCTCAGGGATATTTTGAACATGCAGAATGTTTGCTATGCTTTCTTGTGCTGTAGCTGCATAAGCCATAGAGAACATTTGTAGAAAAAAAATATTTTCTGGATTTGAATAATCGGAACTAAACAAAGCTATTGAAGCATGAAATAAGAGATGAGTGAAGCAAAATGAGACAGACACTTCTGCTTTACTTAGTTAATATTTCGTACAGTTCTTGGTGATTGATTTTAATAACTAGTTATTACGGCTCAGTAAGTTACAGTCATAGACTGAACTGTGATATATCTGTGTGTGTGTTTGTGACCTCTTGCAAATGTGAAGTGAAACGTGTTTTTAAAATTCTTTCACTGAGATGTAAGCTAATCTGTTTGAATTCACATTACAATGGAGTAAGAATACTCGCATAGGCAGTTGCTGTTGTATCGCTGATGTGCGATAACTTGTTACCCTGTGTCTTAATTACTGTCATTCCTATGTCCACGTGGTTGTATTATTCTGGTAAGGGAAAAACCTACACCATTAGATTAGCTTCTTAGTCTGCTCTCTCTGACAGCTGGCACTCAAAATAGATTTACCTAATTGTCCTGGTTTCAGGCTAAACCACAACACTAATCTTAATCTTGATAGAGGCTTGATTTTTGATTTTGTTCTGTAATGTCTTGCAAATAACACTACTGTGAAGCTATCTGAACATTGCATTATAAACAGAAGCCGTAAGGTCTTAATTTTATCATAAGAGTTGATTATGGTTGATTCATTTTATGCAGTAAGTTGGCCTTAAACAGTTATGAGGCCTCATTTTTCCTTTTCCTTGGTTCCAAACATACTTTATGCTAATTCACACTGTGTTCATCTGAGAGCTGCTGGATTATTGAATCTTATGAACAGGGACAGCAAATGAAATTCTGAATTTTTTGGGGTGGTTAAGTCATTGTAGGCAGGACTTGACAAGAGAGGAAAAATGCCCTTGGTGTGGTTTCTCTGCCACCATTGTTCTGTGTAAAGTTGTCTTTCCTGCTAGAAATATTTAATCATCAACAGAGCAGAGGAATAAATGATCTGTAAGGCACAGTATTAAACAGTACACCTTAGACATACCAGTCAGGAGGGTTTATTTTCAAAGATACTTAATTGACTTTGTTTTCATTAACAGGGGAGTGCCTAATGTAGAAAGAAAATAAATGACAGTTTATAATGCCGTACTTAGTATGCAAACAAGTTTGTCTGGTTTCTTTGAACCAAATAATAGACTGCAGGGGAAATACTCTAGCACTGATTTTTTTTTTTTCATCCCACTGTTCCAAAAAGCTTTTTATATATTGATTTTTTTTTCTTTTCTTTTAGTTTAGCACTTGTCATCAACTTAAAGTATGACCGTAGTTCTTCAATAACTATTAAAATTAGTGAGACTAATTAAACAGAGGAATCTAAAGTCCTGTTCACTATGAGGAATGTGATTCAGGGATGTACAGTGCTTTGGCAGATTCCTAGGAGGATTTTCTTCTTGATCTTGAGAGAGCATGTTTCTCTTTAGATGGCGAGTGTAGGAACATGGGTTTTGGTTAAAATCTGTCATTAGTTTAGGACTGCTGTCCCTGTGTACTAAGAAAATCAGCAGTGTAGAAGTGATTTGGAGTATTGTTGCTTTGGCTATAGTTGATACCTAGATAAATAGACTTTGAGAAACCTAATTTTATTGAATTGTGTCTGTAATAACTTGAAGGAGGAAGGGTAGCCTATTTATAGTAGAAACTTAGAACCTCAAACCAACCAACTCAGTGTCTAGAAACTAGCACTCGTGTAATACTAAAAGCTAGTTAAACATTTCAGCAGCCAGTGTTATCTAACAAATTTGAGATACTTTCATTAAAACTAAATTAATTAAATAATTAATATGAGGAATTGAGTGATGAATGATTGTGTGATGAATTGAGCTGTTCATATCTGTCTGTGCGTTCAATCTAAACTCTTACTTGATGGCAGATTTGAACAGTTTTGTCATTTTGCTACGTCCAGGCAAGTTCATTTGTTACTACAGCAGAAATAAGGTTGGTGCTGTCAAAGGACCGATTAACATTAATGCATGCTAAACTCTGAGTGGTAACTTGCAACAGGACTAAAAAGTGCTGCAGTCTGTTGCTTGTACTATTAATTTCTTTGCTCCCTATTTGAGTTGTCCGTAGAAATGGGGCCACTGCTTGTTGGTGTAAGGTACCTGCTGACAGCTGGGTGCCGATGATGGTGGTGCGCTAACAGGAGGAGCTGGCAGCAGGGGTATCCGATGATCCCTTAGTACTGAGTTAACAAACAGGAACCGAGGGCTCCGTACTGTCAGTCTGGTGTTTATCATTCATAGTGTCGAGGTTTGGGTTTTCAACACTTGCAAGTTAAGATTTTAAGATCATCAGCGTGACCTTGTGAAAATCATATTGGCTAGTGGCATCAATACAGTTTGTGAAATGGTAGTAGCCACAGAAATGCAGTATTCTTAAGTGGTTAGAACAGCCCATTTTAGATATTCTGTTTTGTTTTAATCTTTAAAGTGAGGATTACTGTTCAGAAGGCAATATGTTGATTAGGAGCTGGAGAAACTATATTCAGCCTTCTGTAAACCTTTCTGAGTACAGAGGTCTGCTAGGGATGGGAGAATCTGCAGCTGCTGCTTTCCCTCTCTGCGTTGACTTCTCTCTGGCTGTGGGTTCCCTGTGGCAGGTGATGCTACCTGGCAAATCACGGGGCTGGTGTTCGGGCCACAGAAGAGAAGGGAGTACCAACACTACTTCTTGAATACAGGAGCTACA